AATAATCAAAAAATATGTTCACTCATTCATGACAACAGTATTTCTGGTGGGGAATGATGTTTACCAGCAGAATAGTGCACTATGTCAAAACAGTTGAATGGTCAGGGAGTGGTTCAAGGAACATTCTAGTGACTTTTCAAGTCATGTCTTTGCCTCCAAATACACCTGATATTAATCCATTGGAGCACTTGTGGTCCCAAATGTGAATTAAAAAAATGCTACCCCCTCACAATGTTCAGGAATTGCAGGACTAGCTGGTGAGTGATTGGTATCAGATATCTTAGACTAACTCAGCACTTATGGAGTCAATGTCATGTGGGGTGTTGGCTGGTTGGAGTGCTAAAGGCGGTCCTACATGTCATTAACAAGGTGGTCGATGTAACGACTCTTCAATGTACTTTTAAGTAATCTAAGATAATATGTTGATCATTATTTATAATTAACTGTTTGATTACACCAGACTATTACATATTATTAGTAATATTAGAATATGGGGCTATTACAGGTAACTCTTTAAACTTTGTATAGCTAATTTTGTTTTTTCATTCTTGATTTCTTAAATTATTTTTGGTACTGAAAATCATTTTGGTCTTGTGAAATGACATTGTTCTCTAACCTGGCAGTTTTTATAATTTTTATTCTAGTGTTAAGTAATTTATTTACAGTTTTTAGTAATTTTTTGGCCTATTTCTAATGAGGTTCAAAGAGTAGCTTACATATTTTAATAAAAAAATATTAACTTTGTTATTTGTATAACTGGTTTTTATTTATATTTTGGCACCGTTTATTTTGGAGCAGATTTGTTTTTAAACTCTTCCAGAAATAAATTTGAAAAAACATTTGATCTTGTAGGAGAATGATTTTTTTCTTCAAAAAGAGCTGTAATTTTACATGATTCTCCAATTTTTTGCATTATTTGTATCTTTCATTTGTATGTATATATATTCTTCATTTTGTCCTTTGCCTAGGCTTGCCAACCATGAGGGTTAATCCCCCCCCCTCCTTACCATTCTCTCTCTCTCTCTCTCAATGTATTTAAAGTAATGTCTTTAAATTTTTTAAAGAATTGTGAGAGACTTTAGTTTTCAACTTAATAAATTTAATTAAAATTAGAAACATAGAATGTGAATATATGGCCAATACTTTGATGGTTTCCCCCCCTCAACATTTACTATTTCAGTTATTTTCAAACTTTGGCTTTTGATTAATTTTAAACTCCAGTATATATTTATATAAATGCCAGACATTTGGCCATTAAGCGATTAGTCTTCTTCCCAACTCCATTATATGTAAGTGTGTGTATTATCTATCTTATGTTTAACATTTTTATAATGTGAGATATTATATTAATATATATTACAAAGAGAATGACACATAAGAAAAAAAAAATATTATTTCTATGTTTTTACTGTGATACTGTGTGTAAGAAAATCATACACAAAATATCATGGAAAAAGAAAGTTAAATAGTAAGTCCTAACTTTAAATCAATTAAATGGGCTGAAGCAGTAGTGAGCATATAGATCTCATTTGAAAGTAGAAATAAATACAGTCAAATACCAAAAATCTGCCAACTCCTGATGTCCGCGTTACGTCTCAAAATATAAACATTCAGTTTATAGGTTCCGAAAACCGCAACATTGTGTACGAAATATCGAAGAAAAAATAATTACTGAATAATAATGAGTCATAACAGAAATACCAAATTATTGACATCATGATAAAAGTTTTTTCCCCTCTAATCTGCATTGAGGTAAGAAAGCAGACGATTCACTCAACTCTTCTTTCAAGTTCACGATTCACTTATTTGTTATTTCACGAGATTATTTACTGCTGCCTTTTTTTTTTATCCGGATATTTTGTGGATAAATTAAGAATATTTTAAATTTCAGCCCTTTTTAATACAAATTACAGATAAGAAACACACTCATGATAGTACTGCTTGCAACGTTGGAAAACGTAAACATGTTGCATTGACGGTAATGCAAAAAGTGCAAATTCTGCAAAAAGATGGAGAGGGTCCTACTCCTCGGTTTATATCAGAATCGTATGGAATTGCGATATGATTGTGTATGATAGACGGAAAAATAAAGAAAAGGTGTTCAAATTTTACAGCAACAGTGATTCTAACACCAGAATCCAAAACCCAAAATCTTTGCATGAGGCAAAATCGGCAAACCTCGATGCTGTGTATATATAATACAATGAATAATGTAATAAATTTATATATGTAATAATAATTTAATGCATATACAGTCAAAAGTCTTTATTCCGAACGTCCATAATCCAGAATGATCTATAATCCGGACCTCAAAGCTACAAACTTTATGCGTATACGTTTATGCACACGCATAATACGTTTACACATGCGCATTTAATGTATAACAGATGGTATAAGCTAAGCTAAAATTATCTAATTATCTATTTCAGTTAATGTTGCAGATTGCTTTGTTCCTTAATCTTCTAATTGGATCCGGCTTATTATTTTTTGCGAACTGTTAGAGAAATCTTATAAAAGTAAGCTTGAACTTTCGATTACGTCAAAAAGAATTTCCGATTCTGGAGCTGCCAAAGGATCTACAAAGCGAAAGCATGTTTCGATGTCCATCAAACAAAAGTGGATAAAGGCATATCCTTTGTTTCTCTAACCATTCCTAAATCTGTTTATCAATATCACGCTGCTCTGCGGGGGGTTGGGACGTCATAGCACGCAATGAACTGGAAGTTGATCTGTCAGCACTATCCTTATCTTCAGGGCAGATGTTTTTATTTTATTCAGCTTATAATCCCTTACTAAATGTAGTATTTCATCTCGATGTACTCCGTCTTTGATATGATTTAAATCAAATTCCTCGTTATTATAAATATCACGAATACACATCAAATAGTTTTCTGGTTGCAATTTTCTAATTTTGACTATGCGTAATGTATGCTTTACGCATGCACACGTTGAAAGAAATGTTTAATACAGTAAACAAATAAATATTAAGCTTTTTTTTTTTTTTTTTTTTTGTAAATTTTGATACCCTTTAGATCATAATTGCTTTTTATTTAATAAATTGCATGACATCTTACCAGATTTAAACTGATGATCTATAATCCAGAATCGAAGTCCCAACGAGTCCGGATTAAAGACTTTTAACTGTAATAAGTTATTGCGATAATGTATATAATAATTTATTAATTTTGCACTTTTAGTCTGAATATTATGATTTATCTTTTCTGTCCTGAAATCTGCAAAATCCCCAAATCCGCACAACCTCTGGTCCCAAGCTTTGCGGATTTCTGGAATTCTACTGTATCTTTCAATGTATCACATTTTGTTTAATTGCATCACCTTTTAAATTACTGTCTGGTTTCTTTTTTATTTCTGATTCTATTTTAAAATCATAAAATTTAAGACTGAAGATTAAAAATTTTCTTGAATATGCAATTTAAATGTTGAATCAAATATTTAAATAGTTCCTTCTTAAATCTGATTATATATATAAATATTTATTATGTATTTAATCCATGCCTGTTACCAGTATCTTTTGCTTCCTAAAAGTATGGCTTTATTCTGTTTTAATTTAGACAAAGAAGTAGGTGTTAAATATTTAAATAGTTCCTTTTTTAAGTCTAGTTATATGTGTCCTTTTTATATGAAGGGTGATGCAGGGAAATAGGATTTTTTAACATTAGTGTGGTAACACTGTAGTGCCAGCAGGTTTTCGAAACCAATGCATAGTTGTTATGAACACATTGCCATTGTAGTAAACAAGCAGCATTGGAGTGTTGCAGAGTGTGCTATCACTATGACAGCATTTCACAAGCAAGATGATAGTGTGACTGCTGCACAAAGAATATTTTAACAGCATTACCAGCTAAGACATGGTCATGTCTCATCTGCCCGTGTGATTGCAAAGTGCGTATGTAATTTTGAAGAAACTTCTTCAGCCTTGAAAAAGAAGCCTGCAGATGGTGTTCAAATGGTATGTACCCTAAGAACATTGTAGCTGTTCAAGTTTCCATTGAGGAGACCCCTTGCCACTTTGTTTAACAGCATGCATGTGTGCTGGAGATTCAGCGAAGAAGTATGCAAATAATAATATACGAATTAAAGTTTCGCAGTACAGATTGTGCAGCAATTACATTCACAAGACTTTGTGTCACACAGGGAGTTCAGTAAATGGGCATTGGTTAAATAAATGAGAACACCAATTTACCTTAATACATATGTTAATAAACAGAATTTCTGAAACTAGGCACAAGGAAATCCTTGTGAACTTCACAAGCATCCATTACATAATGCCAAAGTGCTATATTATATCATGATGTCATTTGCTCTTACTTTTTTGAACATGAGGATAGCATTGCAGCAACAGTTACATCTGCTGAGTATGGTAATATGCTGGAAACATTCTTTATGCCAAGACTGCGTGATCTTAATCTGAACATTGAAAATACAGGTTTCAGTAGGACGGAGCCATGTGATATGCTGCTTAACAATTGATGGAACCTGTTTGCCGGTTGTTTGAAAGGTGGGTCATTTCACATTATGGTGTCTTTTCGTGGTTTGTGAGACCCTCCGACTTTAATGTTTGCATTTTTTTCTGTGGGGACATCTTAAAGGCAAGGTTTACCACAGACATCCTATAACTATCCATCAACTGAAACAGAAGATTGAAAATGAAATCACTGCCATTCTCCAAGACATGCTGCACCAAGCATTCCGGAGTTACCATAACTGGTTAAATGGAAAAGCCAAGAGGGAGCCTGTCTTCTGATGTCATTTTTAAAAAATAAAGAGATAATTTGTGGCATTTTGTATTGAGCACACAAATGGCATGCTGCATACTTGCACTTTCATCTATAAAAAAAATTTTTTCTGTGTGTATTCATACAAATTATGTTACTTCAAAAATTTCCCATTTCCCTGTGCCCCCCCCCATGTATATGTAACCTATATCTATTACCAGTACTAAATACTTCTGATTCTTTAAAAAAAATTTCTATTTTTAGTTTAATTTAGACAAAGAAGCAGGAGACAGAGGAATCTATCATAGGTATTGTATGGAAAGAGCTGCAGCACATAGTGCCCATGTTTTTACAACAGTATCTGAAATAACCTCCTTAGAAGCTGAACATTTACTAAAGCGCAAACCGGGTTGGTACTTTTTTGACACATTGCACTGAGTGATAAACTAAACTGTGTTTACCTTTAAGCCAGATCTTTCAATCAAATTTTAATAAGTCTTCATACAGTGTGTGCATATAAAACTTTAATCTTTTTTTTTTTTTTTTTTTTTTATAATTTTTATTTATTAAGGAGCTTTTTACTTTGAAGCAGTAAGAAATATTTGAACTTAGGAATTCAGTGAAGTAAGATTTTAAATATGGAGGTCAGAAAGGAAGTAGGACTAAACTACTGAATGAAGTATTAGTCAAAATATAAGTTTCTAAATATGTGAAACTTTTATTTAGCGTGAAATAAATGCTAAATAATGCAAATGATGAAAGGATGGACAAGAAATATATATACTAGAAAAGAGAAAAACTGAAGCAATTTAAAAAGTAAAAAAAAAAATCTTAAATTTTAGTTTTAGGTAAGATTTGAATATACTTGTTGGTTATCTTGTAACTGCTAATGTGTTGCTAAAAATACCACCCCCTGACTCTTGATTCTTGGGAGCATTTCACAACTTAAGAAGCTATTTAGATTTTCTTACAAAAAAAAAACAAAAAAAAAAAAAAATTATGTTTGTTTTGTTTGGAAAAATGGAGCTGATAAAGGGTAGGATTGCTTCTTTTTTATTTCAACGTCAACTTCGATCATGAATCTTTCGTCCCTGTGCAAACAAGGGAGCATGGAAGGATCACCAAAAGGGAGGAATAACTGCTGATGGTGGTGCAGTTTGCAATCTCCTTCTTTTCAGAGTTTGTATGGAGGTGGAGACAAGTTGCAGAGAATAATAGTTTGTTTACTGCTATTTTGAATACAACTGCCAAATAATACCTGTTGGAAATAATAAAACCAATACTTATGTATTATTGCAACCACCTTACTAAAAATTGCCAAAGCTTCAGAATACACCAAACTCTGCACACATAACAATTATTTAGGCAGCCATGTGCATGACAAATATTCAGCTTCTAATGTAACCCTTTTTTCCTATGCTTTTTATTCCAAGTTCGAATGGCTTTTATAGAAAAATTATAATTACTTTTTCTGCTAAATTTGGTTTTAAGTTTGTGCTTGTAGCATTTTCCTGTAATAGAAAAGTTGTGAAATTTCTGCAGGAATCCATTATTTTGTCACAAAATTGCTAAAAAACAATGCTTCAAATTCTCTTTCAAAGCAATTGCTACAAAATTTTGATTTACAACAGAAACCTATTCATAATTAGGTTTACTGATTGTTTTTTGGAATAAAAATATAATTGAAATGTAGAATTTGTATATGTGTGTATATAATATATAACATTTTAAAGTAAAAGTATGTTCTTTTTCTTTTGTGAAATTCCCTGAATTGTGCTAAGGTGTTTGTGATAATACATAAATACTGTTAAACCTAGATTTCATTGCTAAAAGTGTCCAATAGATTATTCACAGTGTATTGGCAGGAACCAGATAACCATCAAATGCTGATTTAGAAAAATAATGTAAATGGAACAAATTTAACAATGTAAGGGGAATAGGAAGAATCACAAAAAAGAGGAATTTCAAAGAAACTGTAGCTTTAGATTAGTGACTAAGAATCGCTAGATGAGAATGAAGTAAAATATCAACTGAAAATTAAATCATGAAATAACACTGTGAGAAAGATCTACTAAACTAAAAAAGGAGTTGATAAACATCTGGAAGTGGTTGACATCCATTTAAACATTGAACTATTTGAGTGAAGATATATTGTACTTCAAGTCCAAGAGCTTTGGCAAAAGATTGAGCTCTTAAAATATAGCATTCTAAACTGTAAAGGAGTATCACCTAAATTATAAAGGTTTCAGTCATTCTTTTTAAAAGCAACCCCAAAAAGGGCTTTTCATATCATCTTTTCTGTTCTTTTCTTTTATACTGAAAATGCATTTTCACTAAAGCAGTAAAAATGAAACATTGACTTACACATTTTAAATAATTATATTTGTATATCAAAATAGAATGGGTTCATGTTTTCTTAAATTTACCTTTTCAAAATATATAATGTTACTGTAATTTTTTTAAGATTATACACTCTTAGATAAAAAAAATAATGCACCGAAAAGATATAAAGAAATTGGACATAAATTGATATGCATACAGGTTTTGACGGTAATAATCACCATAATAATTTTATGCATTTCCAAATTAGGTGATGGTGGTTCAGTGAGTTTATTAATTTTAACACTTTTGCGTTTTAAACAATATTTTATGTTCACTATATACAGAGTGTATTCTTAGGCCACCGCCTTCAACATGAACAAACTTTATTCCCTTTTTCAAACTATGCGAGCAAGAGCGCCCTCTAGCCTTTTTCTTTCAAATTACACAACAGACGGAAAATGCAAAATTTTATTTTACATTTTGGCTGCCAATGAATGAACGGTTGTCTCTACAGCGCATCTTATCTGTGCAACTGGCAGGGTATTTAAGAGGAGAAATTATGATTCGAGGTCATAACTTCTTTACAAATTTCATTTCATGTACTCTGGTAGACAGTAACTATTCCTCACATACATGTGCACGAACAATATGTGCAGATGTCAGAATTTGAGAGAGGTTGTGTAGTTAGGCTCAAAGAAGCCAGTTGGTCTTATTGGGGAATAGCTCGACATTTGAGCAGGAGCGATGCCACAATGACGGCAGGAATGGGTGAACCATGTCCGCACACAGTGTCAAGAAGGAAGCGGTAGGCCTAAAGAAACGACGGAACATGAAGACCGAGCAATCATCAGAGCGGCAGTCACAGCCCCAGATGCATCATTATCATCGATTGTACGTGCAACTAGTGTTTCAGTGATTGCAAGGACCATTCATAGACGGCTCACGGAAAGGGGGTTGAGGTCATAGTGCCCCTTGCTCCGCCTACCATTGACCTCTGTACAACGTCAAGCCTGTTTGCAGTGGTGTCGGGCTCATTCGCATTGGAATGTCACTGACTGGAGTAAAATAGTCTTCAGTGATGAGTCCCTCTTTGAACTGAGCCTCAATGGCCAGTGAAGGCATGTCTGGAGATGCCGCAGACAGCGATGTGATACCAACATGTCTCCTTTTGAGCACATTTGGAGCATTATGGGCAGGACCCTCCAACCAGCTCAGGATGTTGACGATATAACGCACCTATTGGACAGAATTTGGTACGATATCCCTCAGGAGGACATCCACAACCTCTATTAATCGGATGCCAAGCCGAATAACTGCTTGCATAAGGGCCAGGGATGGACAAACGCGTTACTGACTTTTTCACTTTGTGAAGCTGTTATCACTTCAATAAATCATCTAATTTTTCCCAAACTGTAATCATTTGTTTTTCTGTACATGTACATAACTTCTACCGATTTCCGTCCTATTCAAATAACTCCTTCTTGGTGCGTCTTTTTTTTTTTTTTTTTTTGTCTAACAGTGTATATCTGTGTTTTCTTCCTTTAAATATTTTTTGGTACTTTCTGGTTAGAGTGGCCACTCCAAGCATTTTAGAGACATTTAAAATTAGTGTGGCAAAAATTAGAAAAACAATATAGCAATCTTTAACCACTTGCGCTAAAAAGACATGCCATGCATGTCGAGATGCTTTTGTCTCAAACCGCGTGCAAAAATGAAAATAACGTGGTGCACACATCGCCTAACAACGAGATTGTTTATTTTAAGTTACAGCTCTGGAATGCACTTACAGACATGGAGTGGCGTAAATGAAACACTTTACCGCTTGTTATATTGTAGCACACGGCACCACAACCGTGAAGTTTAGTCGTATCGCAAGTGGTTAAGAAACAAAAGTAATTTTGCATTTTCACTTACATTTAACTTAATATTGCACCTTCTGTTCATCATTTCAAAAGTATCAAGTCCAAGCTAGTTCTTCCACTCAAAAGTGTAGGAAGTGCAAAGGAATTGTGTAATCATGAAACAAAATATTAACATGAAGACATTTTACCCACTGTAGATTTTCAATTGCATCTACAAATACTTCACCTTCTAATAAACTAGTAGCCATTTTTTTACTTTTCCTCAGTTTGTAAAATTCCATGCTTTTGAGAGAAAATAACCACTGCTTCTTTTTCAACTTAAGTTAAATATACTTAAAATTTTAGAAGGAAGTAAAGAGAGAAGAATGAATGAAGATATTGAGAAGAAACTAGTGCTTATTTTTAATGTAAGAGAAAGTGAAAAATAGCAAACATTTCTGAGGGAAAAAAATAATGAGGGAATTATATCACACTGTCTGAAGTAAGCATGAAAATCAAATATGTTGCACATTATAAATATCTCAAACAAATGTTTTCTTTTTTAAATTATTAAAAATTAAAAGTGGTAAGCATTTCTTAAGAAGAAAGATATTGAATCAATGATATCACATAGACAACTCTGTAATTGAAACAGTCTGAAAATGAAACACATTGCATGTGGAAAATCTGCCAATTAAGTTTGCCAGTTTTGCAAACTAATCTTCCGATTTTTGAGACTGAGCAAGGTGGCTGCTTTAACAAGGAAGTACCTGTTTTTTTGTGCTCAGTTATGTATTATATTATTTCATAACAATACCTGACATTCTAGTTGATTTGAAATAAACTATTTTTTTATGTGCTTAGGGAATGAAGTTAAACAAACACCTGAACAAGTGAAATTTTCACTTTTTTTTTTAATTTATTGTGAAATTTTAATGAAAATTCTTAATTGATATAATCAATGTAAGTGCATATTTATTTTGTTTTTTAAGATGTAATTACTCCAAATGGATTAAATGTTAAGAAGTTCAGTGCTATTCATGAATTTCAAAATCTTCATGCTCTTGCCAAAGAAAAAATACATGATTTTGTGAGGGGACATTTTTATGGGTTTGTATATTTATTCTTTACATGTATAAGATGTTCTTAAAGTTTATATTTTTATACCGTAATGTGACCAAAAAATTCTTAATTTTTTTTATTTAATCAAATTAAAAAAAGAATGAATTTCTTCAATAAACAAAAAATTTATTCATTGAAGCATATAATTTTCATATTCTCAGTATCTGCTTGTTTTAGCCTTCAGTTTGTATGGAACGTGTCTTTAACAAATCCCCAATATTATATATGCTATATAACTTTAAAATATAATATTAGTTTTGTGACAAAGTGAAGCCTGTTGCTAATGATGCAAAAATGGTATAGTTTTTTTAAAACATTTTATAAGTAAATTCTGCTTTTGAGTACAGAGTCCTTTTTTTTAAAGCGTAGGGGAAAATCCGTTCCTGTGATTGGACATACTTTCAGATATCATTTTCTCTTGGCGTAATTTAGGTGGGGTTCTTATGGTTTTGTTTTCATTGAATGTTGCATATGAGTGACATGGAATTGTGAAAATTATCGTTTGTTTTCTTTGAAGTGAAAATATTTAGCTGCAGTGTTCTGCAGATAACTTAAGAGTTTTATGGAAAAATAAAGTTATAAAATCTTTTGAAGATGCTGTTAATGTCGGAATCAATCTTAAGTACTTATATAAATAGCTGACTTCATGAAGTTAGTGCAAAAACCAAAACACGATGATCTCAATCCAACTGTAAAGGCATTGTGTGCTAGTAAGTATATTATTATTATTGCAGTTTTGTTGCATTCTGTTTCTTTCAAATTGCAGAAAGTATTTCGTTTGCAAATATTATAATATTTCTTTGTTAGTGTCCATGTCACTCTAATACTCTATTTCCTTAAATTAAAGAAAAAAGTGCATTCAGTACTGTTGCTCAATTCAATACACGTGTATAAGAAAAGTAATTTCCTTCTCTGACAAACACTATTTTTATGCAAAGGTACAAAAAATGTTACACATTAAAAAATGGGTGATATTCTTAAAGTAATAGTATTCAATTTAAAAATCATATCCCTATTTCTCTGTTACGAATCCATATTAATCTAATTTCAGAAATAAGTTGAATACCTTTTCAAATTGATCATAAATATTGTGAACTACACTAGTTCCCAACGTCATTTTTGCTATTTCCAAAAACAGACTTGTCTCATGCTTTCGAGTTTGTATCAGCAGAGAATGGATATATAATGAACATGAAATAATGAATTAATTAATAATCACAACACCTCTAATATGAAGGGTTTTAATTTAAGAATACATTTATTAAAAATCTCTGCACTTAATATTAATACACATTTACAGAGTTAGCACAAAAAGAAATAATACTTTTTCTCTCTAAAGGAAAAAAATCACTACATTTTTAATATTAAATTCATCAAACTACAGTGTTGTAAGAAATGTAATCTCATAGAAACAAAAATGCAACGCACATTATAATCTTTTCGGTACTTCTATCAAAATGTAAACAAGCGGTATGAAGGTGTACCCTGGAGCCCAAACAAAGTCAAGGCATTCCTAAGCGTAGAGGAAATGATGCCATCCGAAGCCATATCCAATCACAAGGTCGAAATTTTCCCTGTGCGCGTGCTGCGGTATAGAATGCTTAAATGCTTTCAGGCTATCTATATGGCTAAGAGAATGCTGTGCTGATGTATTGATATTAACAAAACTCTAAGATAGTACTATTATTAAAAAAGGGGGACACAAGCTTTAATAAAACCTTTAAATCTGTTTTGTTCATTTTTCTCTGTGTAAATGTTTTTTTTTTAAATAGTTTAAAATATAAAAGTTGGTTGCAAGCTAGCCTAGATTGAGTAAACAAAAATTTCATTAACAAATTAATTATAATATAGTTTCTTTCTCATGCCTGTGTTTCTTAATGCCCTCAAATTAACTTTGAGTTAAGCATGGATGTCTTCCTTAGTACTAACTATGCTGGTTAATTGGAGGTGAAATATAATAGTTTTATTTTTAAAGGTTAGTTATGTGTTGATATTTCACTTCTGTTTTTATTTTGAATAATATTCATTTATTCAATATCTTATTTTTATATTTTAGGCACTATGATTTTGACTTAGATAAAACATTATATCTTTTCATTGCTGGTCGATATGAATTTTCAAATAAAGGTGCAGATTTATTCATTGAAGCTTTAGCTCGACTGAATCATTTTCTAAAAGTAAGATCAGATTAATTATTAAATACTTTATAATAAATTTTGAATAATGAGCATGTGAGAACCTATAAATTAAATAACTTAGAATTTAAACAAAGCATAGTTTCTTGCATTATATTAATAAATAGGTGTATTACAAAAGAAATTATTTATACATATTTATTGTATTTTCTCATGTATTCCCCCCTGACTTTTTAGTGTTACATTTGGAAAATTTTTTAAATATTCACGTAATTTTCCATCTGAGAGCTAGTTGATTGACTATAATTTTATGAAATACAAGTATCCGGAACTGATATAAATACCCTGCAGAATTCTGACAAATTATTATATGAAATATAAATAAGCACATGCTTTTTTTATGAAGTATTTGAAAGTTGTGCGAATTTAATTTTGTTTGGTAGAATTATAAATTTTTTTATTTTAATGTAAATGTTTCTACATGAAGAAATTTTTGAGTACCTTTATTCCACTTATTTTCCGTTATTATTATAAAAGAAAGGTTAATAGAACTTAGCTTATAAAAAGTTTATTTTTAAAATATGATCTGTGAAACCATTTTTAATCTTTAGTTTTTCTTACAACATTTGCACACTTTCTTTAACCTTTTATGATTCATTTATTTTAAATAAATTTCTAAAATGCTTTATAGAAAAAAATAACAAAATGTGAGCAAAAACTGTTTGGTTGCAAAGTTATGTAAAACTTGGGTTCAGAAAGAGTTATGTTTTTGATAAAGGCTATGGAATTTGTAAATACATATATGTAAAGTTTAAAATCCATTCTTAGATTTTGTACATATTATACACATGTATATCATAAAATTGAATCATTTTGCAAGAGAAGATATTTTTTTCCTATAGATTTCGGTCACAGAAGTGTGTTCTTACATTGTACTGAATATCTTCTTCCAAAGATATTGAGAGTTCTACCTCTATTTCTAAAAACCAGTCAAATATTTTCAAATAGGGTGCACATTGAAAACTAGCAGAAATATGAAAGCAAAAAGGAGAAAGAATGTTACTGAAATGAGATAAGGAAAGATAAGAATGAAAGGCAATGGTCATTCCAGATACTATATAGTACATCTGATGAAAATGACTTCTTTTTCCGCTCTCCACAAGTCCCGACTTCCTAGCCATATGCAACTCATATTTGTTTCACTTCACATACTATGCTCTTTCCACTCTGAAACTGCTCTGAATTATTAGGACAAAACTGTACTGAGTAACAGCTTAGTTCTTAAATGGAAAGCTAATCAAAAACTGAAAGATTTTAGAAGTGCGTATGATGAATCACTTGCATCTCAAAATGAAACAAACAATTCTCTTGCAAGTCCAAGAGATTGGTCAGCTGTTACACTTGCTGCACCAAACTGTATATCGACAAAATTTCTGTGACTCACCATCCAGGACTCGGATCTCAGTTAGGTGATCCATGTGATTCTCTGAGATGTTTTTATTTATACTTTGATGACATTGTAATTTCTTCTATAGTAAATGAAGCAGATATTACTTTTTTTTTTTTTTTTTTTTTTTTTTTTTTTATGAAACTGATTTACAATCATCTTGCATGACTTTCAATGGAAATGAAATTAAAACTCTTTTGCACTTTATAAATACTAGAATCATTCAAAGCCAATAGGATAGTGGTTTTGCTCACAGAAATCAATTATAAGCTGCCCCATGTGGGAAAAGTGATAAGTGAACAAAGATTTAGTTTATTAATGAAATTTTGCAAATAATGAAGAATTATTATAGTATGTCTATGTGTACATACATACATTTACTTTTTTTGCGCCCACATATATGTAAAATTATTGAAAATTGGAATTAGGAAATGTTAATACTTAAGAAGACTGTGTTAAAACTGTTAAAAAAAGAATAATACATACTTAAAATAAAGGTTGAAGAGTACACACATAAAAAATCACTAAACTTGCTGATTTCCTAGAAGAAGACTGACTTATCAAGGAGATTTAACCCTTCTAAAAAAAAAAATCGGCAATATTTGGATATGATCTCATTTTGTCTCTTTCATGAATTCTTTTAATCATGAAAATCTGATATATAAAACTTGTATTTACATGAATAATTAATAATTTTCAGATATGAAGGAAATTTCTCAGTGCAGTCAAAAAAGAACATGTTTACAGAAAGACTTCTAAAAACTGATGAGGCATTTTAATTACTATAACATTTAATTATATTCAAATTGTAGGCCAAAAAATTTTTTTTTATTAACGTAGTATAAAAATAACCAAAATATATTATTTATTACCTAACTTATATTTTAAATTCCATAGTTTGTATTGTGAAGCTTTAAACTCAAAATTTTTATATTGCAACATCTTAGGATGCATATGTTTACCTTAAGAGGTTGAAGAGTGTTAAAACTGTAGATATGAATGCTGCAAAAGGAATTCATTCAAATGAAGCCCACTTATAGACCAAAAAAAATCTAAAGAAGTGTTGTGCTGTAATCTTCCTTTTGGTTATTATGTAAAACATTACACACAAAATTTTATACATATTATAATTAATGTTTTCATTTATACTTAAATGCTTCTATTTTTTATTATACATTTTAACAATCCAAATTTTGTAATAAGGTGATATTATAATAGTATCACTTATTACATACCTTTTTCAACTACAGCAATAAAATCATGCGCCTTCTTACAGTAACAAATTAAAAATTAATATGGCTAGTTAGAAATTTAATAAATTGAATGTAATCATTTTATATACAGCTAGCCCTCCCCCCCATCCCACCAAAAAAAAAAAGACTTCTACATTCTAGCTACTCAGACCGAGGACAAATCAGCTCATGTTTTTCATGCTTCGAAAGAGCGACTTAAGATATATATTAGATTAATGTACAGAATTATTCTAATGTTTGTATTTTGATATAAAATCAGAACTTTTTCTTAAATAGCATAACAGTTTTTTAAATATTTTGATTCACAGGTCAATGACCTTCAACAATTTTTTTTTTTTTTTAATTTGGAATAATTTCTGTGTGCTCTTTTTTACTTTATGCAGATAATCATTTTGATGAACTTCTCAGTTTACGGCAACCTATTTCATTTCTCCTTTCATCCTGTGTGCATAGAGAAAAAGTTATTTTTAAATCACATCTATTGTTTTCTTGTTTTTATTTTATTTTGACAATTTTACTTTAATTATTTTTTGGTTTATGTGGTTGAATTATGTGTTTATTCGTAGATGTCTATATTAATTTTGTTTATTTGAGTAGCATTTCTTTTGAAAGTATGCTTTATCACCCAGTATTCATTATCCATTGGGGAAACCGTGTGGCACCAAGGTGCCTGGGTCAAGGACCCTACCCCTTGTAGAACAGATATGTTATTTCGAATACTGTAATGAGTAATTAATATATAATTAGAAAATATATATATAATTAAATCATGCTTTTTGACATTTTTTTAAAGTTATAAGAATAGCTAAAAGATAAATTTCTAAAAAAGGCTAAAGTGTGTGTCAAGTTTGAGTAGACCTGAAGTGCTATCTGGGAAGGCTGAAAAAGGAGGAATGAAATGTCTATAGCCTGATACAGAAAAAACATTCATATAAGTAATAAAATAGTACGAGTCTCTTGGTGCACTGGGTAATAATTAAACCTTAAATCTTCAACACAATATTAAGAGGTACATAACATATTAAATAAGTTATACAATATGGGTACTAAGTATGGCCATAGGTCGTTTATTATTATTTGGGTCATTAAAATCGTAATCCTAAATCCTTATATCTGGGTTGTTGATATTAACAAGATTGGCATAAAAGTTCTGGGCAAGCTGGCAGTAAAAACACTTAAGTTGTTCTATACCCAGTTCTTCATGTAACTTTTGATTTCAAAGGTACCAGGGTGAATTGGTAATCTGTCTTAGGACACAATTTTATGCCTGTTGCTTTTTTTTTTTTTTTTTTTTTTTTTTTTTATCTATAAGATTTGCTTGAATATGCCTAGACTAGGCAGGCATAGCATAGTATGGGACTCAGTACGGTTTTATAAATAAGCAAACTTTTTATTGAAGTACACTGTTTCGAGAAATTAAGGGGTGAAGTGTGACTTTACTAACTCTAATATTATTAAGGATAGATGTTATGTGTGGGTACCATGATAGAGTTTTTTTACTGAGGATCACCCCAAGATAAAGAACTTGCTTGTCGCATAGGAAGACATGTCCAAAGAATTGCAGGTTTTGGTTGAATTTAATCTTCTTGGTAAACAGAATTGCTTGAGTCTTGTCGACATTAACTTTGATTTTTCATTTTGTCAGCCAAGTATCGAGCATGTTTATGGAGTCTTGTAGTTGTTGTATTGCTGGGCTAACAAATGTACTTTGTGAGAGGATCGCAGTGTCATCAGCATACACTGCGAGTGTTGTGTTCTGTAGAATGTTTTTTCATAGATATTGAATAAGGGTCCAAGCAGACTTCCCTGGGACCCCAGAAGGATTGCCCTACATTTAGAGTGTATTTGAGACGCGAACGATAAAATGTCTTTCGGTTAGATAGGATTTAACTATGTTTGTTATGTAACCTAGGAAGCCCAGGTTGTGTAGTTTGTAGGTGAGTGCGTCCAGCCATACATGGTTGAAAGCTTTTGCTATGTTTAAAAACAGTCCTCCTGTAACTTTCTTTTTCTGGAGCCCTTCACTGATTTAGTTCCACGACACGGTATAGCTGGTTGACCATAGAATGTCTGCATCGAAATCCGAATTGGTGAGGAATGATGATGCTATTCTGTTCCAGATGTTGATTAATTCTGGTTAGTAGAACAGCCTCTATAATTTTGCTAAGTGAGGATAGCAGACTTATCGGACGGTATGACTCTGATGAGCTTGCAGACTTTTTGAGTTCCAGAATTGGTGTGATTTAAGCGTGTTTCCAACTTTCCGGGAAATGCGGCCATAGTATAGGTTGACAACCTTTCTAAAGAACAGTAGGATTTTAACTGGAAATTTCTTGATCTTT